CTCTACCAACACCTGATCTGGGCCTTCCCTGTTGGCGCTATTGCACCCGTCATAATCTGGTGGCTCGCCCGTGGAGACCGCAAATCTATCCTTAGTAAAGTCAACCTCGCCGTTGTGTTCGGTAGTCTGAGTTGGATTCCGCCAGCCACTGGGCTTAACTTCTCCGTTTGGGCAATCGTCTGCTACATCTTCAACTACGAGATTCGGAACCGGAAGAACGCATGGTGGAAGAAGTACAACATGATGCTTAGCGCGGCCTTGGACTCTGGTCTTGCGTTTGGTGTCGTTGTCATCTTCTTTGGTATTGTGTACCCGGGTTGGATGAGTAACTTCAAATGGTGGGGTACAGAGGTCTACAAGCAGGTACGTAGCTCACAATCACGTTTTCTTTCTTGATACAGTTTGCTAACATATCCATAGGGTTGTGACTGGCAAGCCTGTCCCTACAAGGAAGTGCCAAAAGGAGGAACTTTCGGACCAGGAAGGTGGTGATTTTATGATACACGCATTGACGTTACTAGCATTGGCATATGCATTGGATGACCGGCGTTTGGAGCAGTTTAGAGATAGACATGTTGTTGGATACACCGCATTAATCGCTCGAGTGTTTTGAATAACGCACGCGATCTGCTATCATCATAAGGCGTTGTTGGATAAGATGAATTCATTTTTCTACTTCTTCGGACGACATAGATGTGAACCGATCAAAAGATCCACCTGCTTCCACTAATTCGTCCGTCCTCCAGTCTACCTCTCTCTGTATTCCGCTGGAACATCAAAGTGATATCATCATACAGTTCTATCTATTTGGCCTCCCTGACTGCACCACTAACTCGAAGCATCCAAAAAGATGGTAAGCTCATGGTGAAAGAGTGTTGAATGAATCATCGTCCGATGAAAAGGTAGCGTAGAGAGGGTCTATCTGAGAAGCAGCAAGAAGTATGACGGCTGAATGGGTGACATTTTGGCTATCTTTAGAGTTCTGTGTCAAGGTACGAGACATCATCACCCACTGAGGTGTCTTCCTCTATGACAATACTGGGGTCACCTGCTCCCTTCTCACAAGGCTCCATGTGCTAGAAACATTGTGTGACATGCGCCCCAAATACATCCCAGGTTATATCCTCCTAACGAATTTCTGCTGATCTTTCTCTCCTTCATACGACTACTGCACCTTGCTCTGCACACGATCAAGTCATCTTGATATCAGTCTTCAGCTCCCAATACCTGCCGCTGATCACTGTTGATGCCAAGATCGAGGCTCGCTTCGCCATGATCACCTCCTCATTCTCGATCGTCATCTTCGCAACACCACCGTGGCACTCGAATTTGCCAGCCCAAACATCTGGCCACTTGGGGGCGGAGTAGGCGTTGCTAGCCGTGACCTTGAGGTGCCAAGATTCATCGTAGCCGATCAGGAAGCCGGCGACATGCTCGAAGCGGTACAATTTCATTGACTTGTGGTGTTCGAAAGTGCCAATCTACAAGAACATCAGTAGGTGTAGCTTTAGCAGAAGACATGATGACCTACAAAGACCTCGTGACCCTTGCGCCAGATGACCAACTGTACATCCTTCGTGCCAAACACAGCCTTGAAGGTATTGACTGTGGGGTTGACGAAGGACCTGAGCGTGGCTAGTGACACGTTGAAGAGAGTAGTGACGATCGCATCTTGAAGTTTGAGTGTTCCTTCTTCCTTCATGGATGTAGCGTACTCCCCAAGGTCGATGATATGAGCATGGCTAGTCGGGCCACTTGGGGGCAGCGTCTCAAAGTCATCAGTGTAGGAAAGAGTGCTGCTGTTACTGTTTCCGGAATCGCTCTTTCCAGGTGACACAGGGCAACTATTAGTGTCGATGGTAATTTGAAGCTTGTCAAAGTCGATGTCCATAGGGACGGTGTCAGTGTGGGTCGTCATCTTTGCAGTGGGATGGACTCCTAATTCGAGATGATTGTCAGATGTAGAGGATGGTAATTCCTGTCGTTTGAGTCTTGTAGTTACTGGCATGGTACATGAGATATAGGTACAGTAGTCGTGCGCGCTAGGCGCTGAGGAGCGATGAGTTCTGCAAATATGAAGTGGTGAGCATGAATTTTGACGGGGAATGATGATCATAAAGAGAGAAGAAGTAGCTCTGCGGGGAGTGTGCGCGTGTTTGCTGTGACTGCTGGGCTAGTAACGCTAGCGGCGCAGACGGTGAGAGCTCAAGGAAGGTGCGAGGGTCCTAGAAAGCAATGACGCTATACGAGTTGTTTGCATAGCCATGTTTCCGCGAGCCCAGAGCCTCACAGTTCAGGCCTCACATCACCGCTCCTCGCCTGCCCTTCATTACAATGTCGTTACCATCTCCATCACCTCACAATGACCTTATAGGCTTATTTTGGGCCGCGACAAGGCGGCTAGTCTTACTCGCGCTTCGATACTACACTCGTGACAGGCCCTACCTCACCACGCAACGGTCCGGCTCCCTAGGGGATTATTTCCATCGTCAGCATCAGAGCTCGAAGAGTCGAGCCAACGCAAGATCCAATGACTGTCAGCCAAACTCGCGGCACGGCCAGCAAAGCAAAGAAGCATTCACCTATCTTGCAAGCAACCCATACTCTCCCATTATCATCATATAATAACCAGTTCAGATTTGGTGGTAAACTCCGTTGCCTATACGTAGGCCCAAAGCGTCGCCTGTTTTCGGCGCACCAGGACATGCTTTGCAAGCAATCCACTTTCTTCAAGAACCAGTACCAAACTGTGCGCAAAGACATCGAAGGCGAGTGCGTCATCTGTCACGAAGATCTTGATGCCTTGGTTCAAAGCCTGGCGTACTGCAAGACATGTGGAAACAATCTGCATCGAGGTTGTATGAAACAATGGTTCGAGAACAACAAAACTTGTCCCACATGTCATTCAAAGTGGATCCCGTCGAACTTCCTTGATACCGCCAGTCTTGATGATATCGATGCCGATGGTTTCGACGTATACGTCCAGTGGCTCTACGGATGTACTATCCCAGTCTATAAGGCGGACAAGAGAGATGACGTACTTCGCTGCTTCAGACTGGTTCTTGCGCACAATGTGGGCGAAACCCTCGGAGACATCAAATTCTTGCAGGTCGTGCGTCAAGACATCGTCGAATGCAGCTTGAAAATGACGGACAAAGCTCGTCATCAGCTAATGCTTGTGGCGTACCAGAAGACAACTCGTCCCTGCGCCCTTAGACGATTGGTTGTTGATTTATTTGCTCTTCAGAGCAAATCGGATGCGTTGAAGCCGGTAGAGACTCCAGGCGTTGTATTGAGAGACCTCATGAAGTGCTTAATGGACAGGGTGGAGGCTCAGGGCGAACAGGACGTGTGGAGCCTCATGAGCGCTGCAGGGTACATCGAGCGAATCGAGGAGATGTGTTAGCGATGACCATGAAACTTCAACCTAAGGATTGGGCGATCAAAGAAGATTATGACACTTGGGATGATGCATGGATTGTACCAAAGCGCCGACGTCACATTGTACAGTCGCCTTCAAATGATCTGTGATTAGCCAAAAACTTTCAAAACTACTCAAGTAAGGCAGAACTCCAGAGTACGGAACAATAGAGGAATCCAGCCCAGTTGCTTGTTAGGATGGAACAGCGCAGGCTAAGAAATACTTCACATGCCTGTAATCACTAGAGAGTTTCAGAGAGTTATCAAGCTTCAGGCCCCTTTTGCAAGACATCTGCACCATTGAGCCATCTATACCTTTTGACTCGCAAGAAAACATCGAAAGGAGTATAGTGGCTACTCAAAATCGCGATTAAACATGGAAAGAGGTATAAGTATTCCCTTGAATTCGCGATTAACCACGGAGAAGGGTATAGCTGTCACCAGCCCTCATAAGGAAGTCGTCCACTGTAATTCGCGATTGAACATAGAAAGTAGTATAGCCGTCAGCAGCGCGCATAAAGAAGCGGACGTGCCACGAATTTCAAGAATTGGGAAGTGGCATGAAGTCCGCGCCAAGATTGTCGCATCTTACCCTGAAAACTCGCATCCCTCACCAGAAACAGGCTAGCATCTGGGTAGGCATCAAACAGCCGAAGAACGGCCACGTTCCTGCATGCGTCTAACCATACACGGCATTGTAAACTTCATCAACCTCAGTCCACCACTCCGCTCCACCAATGGCATTAGAGCTGTAAAAACTACACGACACCCGAGGAATCCGGATCGGGGGGTTTGGCGTGACCGTCTCGCCGTTACGCACGTTGCCTTTGACCGAAAATGGGGCTGAAAGAACCACGTCTGCCCTGCATTTAGGCCAACAGTTGGTGTATTCGGAATGTTCCGGTCGAAGATGATGGAGGTACATATACCAAGCTATCGTGCTTGGAAGAGTAGGCTGCCTTGCATTCCGCTTTTTTCCTTCGTGTGGGATTGACTAGCTCACGTCGTCCGTCATGGCCGCTTCTGACCCTTCAACAGGAAAACCTTCCGCTCCAAAAGAACTACATATATCTGCTCAACCAGTCACTTTCGCAAATTGGTACAAGAAGATTAACTGGCTTAACACAACTCTCGTCGTTCTAGTCCCGACATATGGCCTCTACTTGGCACGTTCGACACCTCTCACTCGACCAACTTTGCTATGGAGCATCCTGTACTACTTCATAACCGCTTTTGGTATCACAGGTGGATATCATCGATTATGGAGCCACCGCTGCTACTCTGCGCGCCTTCCAGTACGTCTGTTCTTGGCCTTTACAGGAGCAGGAGCAATCCAAGGTAGCATAAGATGGTGGAGCGCCAACCATCGCGCGCATCACCGATGGACAGATACGATGAAAGATCCATACTCGGTCATGCGGGGCCTGTTGTTTTCTCACATCGGTTGGATGGTTCTTAACAACGACCCGAAAGTCAAAGGTCGTACGGACATTTCCGACTTGGATAGCGACTCGATCGTTGTGTTTCAGCACAGGCACTATGGAAAAATGCTTCTCTTTGCTGCCTGGATCTTTCCTGCGATGGTAGCAGGTTCGGGGTGGGGAGACTGGTGGGGTGGCTTTGTGTATGCGGGCATTATCAGGGCGTGCTTCGTACAGCAAGCTACCTTTTGTGTGAACAGTCTCGCTCACTGGATCGGCGAACAGCCATTCGACGATCGGAGATCTCCAAGGGATCACGTGTTGACCGCTTTGGTGACTATGGGCGAAGGATACCATAACTTCCACCATGAGTTTCCGTCTGACTACCGTAAGTCCATGTCTTTTGGATGTCATAAGGGTGACGATACTAACAACAGATCAAGGCAACGCAATAATCTGGTATCAATACGACCCGACGAAATGGCTCATCTGGATCATGTCCATAATCCCTCTCTTTCCACTGACTTACGACCTGAAGACCTTTCGCTCTAATGAGATTGAGAAAGGCAGACTTCAACAGCAACAAAAAGCACTTGACCAAAAGCGATCGAAGCTTGATTGGGGTGTCCCATTAGCTCAATTGCCGGTCATCAGTTGGGACGATTTTCAAGCCCAGGCTTCCGCCAACGGCGCCGCTTTGGTGGCTATCGCTGGGGTAATCCACGATGTTTCACCGTTCATTGCTGATCATCCCGGTGGCAAGACACTGATCAAGAGTGTGGTTGGCAAGGATGGTACCGCGGTATTCAATGGCGGTGTGTATGAACATTCGAACGCAGCACATAATTTGTTGTCGACTATGCGTGTTGGTATCTTGCGAGGCGGTCAGGAAGTCGAAGTCTGGAAAACAGGTGCTGAGAGAGCTAGTAAAGACACCAAAGGCAATGGTGTCGTCAGGGCAGGCGATCAAATCACGAGGGTGGCTGCACCTGTAGCAGCGGCTGTAGCAGCTTGAAACTTGTACGAAGGAGCTCGTTCCTACTGAGGGGTACTCCATACTCAAGTCTTCCCTCAAGGTATACGCTGCATTCTATACCAACAATAGAAAGCACAAAATACATGATATACCTCTCGGGTGCAGTACAGCTGAGTATACTACTCCTTAAAAAAACGAGCTCCTTTGTAAGTGTGGGGTATCGAGATCATCGTTCAAGTCATCATTCGTCTGATATCTTACGTGATCGTCTCCTACTTCTTTGAAGCGACCTCCTCCCATTGGACACCAACCCATTCCTCCACATAGCCGACTTCGCCTTCTTGGACGTCGCTGGGCTTGCAGTCTTTGCTACATACTGCCATAATGATAGTGCCCCATTCCATGCCATCGATGCTCATCTCGTCTGCCTCCAACTCGGTAATTGCATGTGGTGTTAACTGAACCTCGAAGACCCTATCCGCACCACACGTCGAACATCGAGGAAAGCCAGCTCCACCTCGTGAGGCCGCTGTCTTGACCTTTGCGTTCGACGCTGTGCCATTCTCCGAATGTGGTCCCAGAAGCTTGCCGATAGCATCGTTGTCGCTGTACAGAAGCGGCTTGCCTTTGTACTCATAACGCAGCACCTGCTCGGAGTTCTCCCCAATACGATCTGCAAACTTCTGGAACGTCCTGTCCATGGACGACTCAAATACTTCCTTGTCTTCTTTTCCACCACCTTTCCCGCTTTCTTCAGTCTCCATATCCATAACCCGCACGTTTGCTGGTATTGATGGTTCTGAAGGAGCGTCTAGCGTCTCGTATTCGGCGTCCAGGTGGTAGTGTGGGAACGGCGTAGGGAAGGCCGAGTCTGCTGGCCATGGCTCATGTGGACGTGGGGGTTGCTGTTCAGACGGAGGTGGTGAAGACAGCCGAACTTTGGACGCGAAAGTTTCCGGTAAAGTCGTGGAGGCTTCATCCTTCTTCTCCTCAGGCTCGCTAACTTGAACTGCGGGTGTAGGGCTGGATGTGCCGAAGGGATTTGCACTTCCTCCCGAAGAGAAAGGGTTCGCCGATGCCGCACCATTGGGCTTGGACGAGAAGGGGTTCGAGAATGGGTTTGCGGGCGTCGATGCACTTGTCCCATTCTTGACCCCAAACAGCGACTCGCCTATCTTGGGCTGGGGCTTTTCTTCTTTGACCTCCTTCTTCTCGACTTTGGCAGTAGTAGCCTTACTGCTCGCGCCTTTTGCGACGCGCACTCCACGAATGCCCCTCACGCTACCCTCCTTTCTTCTGCATGGTTTGCGCCGACATGTCCAGATATACAGTCGCCGCTCGTGACCAGGGAATTGGTCAGGAAGGTCGCCGTTGAGTTCGAGGAGGAGGCTGAGATAGCCATTACAGACTTTGCACTTTGCTAAGGCGCCAGAAGGGGCTGTCGCCTCATCTATCCAGCCCTACTATGATCATTAGACAGACTTCTGGCTAGGTCGACAGTGTGCGTACCGGTGCGCCTCCGATGTGGGAAACTGCGTCGCCCGTTGCTTCCTTTGTCGCATAACCCAGCAGCACATTTGTCTCGGTGTAGTCATCGCCGCCGTCTGAGGAGTCGCTGTCGTAGGGCGCCATGGTGGTGTAAATTGGTAGATCTTGTCGCAATCAATTGTTTTGGCGGGGTCTAACTTTTTTGAAGATGACGCGGGGCTGCCCGGTGGCCAATGCGCCGTCTCGTCGCACTGAGCGAATTTGACCAAGCCTTCGACACCAACTCTTCGTCGCTCATCCACACAACCACCATGGGCGCCCCTTTCGACTTCGCGCCTGAGCGGCCGGATCACATGCAGCAGATCCTCGATGGACTGGATCGCTACAACCCAGAGACGACGGGTGTCTTCCAGGACTATGTCATGCAGCAGTGCGAGAACCAGACGTACGACTGCTACGCCAACCTCGCCTTGTTGAAGCTGTACGTTCCCCTCTACTCAATCTTTCCTATGCTACAAGATGAATAAACAACCACAACGTTTCCTATTACCCGAGGGATGGGGACTGAATCCACCCACCCGCTGAAGTTTATTATTAGCTCTATCTGACAGCTTTCTGCCTCTTTTATTGTACCTCCAGTATCATCGTTGCATCTCACTAACCACGATGCTGCAGCTACCAGTTCAACCCCCACCTCGCCCGTGACGAGACCATCACCAACATCCTCGTCAAGGCCCTCACCGTCTTCCCCAGCCCCGACTTCTCCCTGGGTCTGTCCCTCCTTCCCCCACACGTCCTAGCTCCTCTTTCCTCTTCATTACACAACCCAGCTGCTGGCGATGCCCCGCTATCAGAAGCTGTCCAGAAGCTCAACGAGCTCAGGAATCTGCTCGAAGGTGCAGACTACGCCACATTCTGGTCCACACTTGACTCTGACGACCTGTACGCCGACTTGATTGCCGACGTATCAGGCTTTGAGGAGTTGATGCGCGTACGAATTGCTGCGACTGTCAGCCAAGCGGTACGCGAGGTCGACCGAAGCATCCTAGAGTCGTGGTTGAACCTCTCCGGAAGCGAGTTTGACAACTTTGTCGGAAGCGTGTGTGGATGGAACATCGATGGTGCCAAGATCAAGGTACCAATCAACAAGGACAACGAGGCTAAGGGCACCGTTGTCCGCGAGAATGTCAAGTTTGATCGTAAGTTTATTTACATACTGAGCACCAATCAGCTGCTAACAAAACTGGCAGAATTCGCAAGGGTCATTAAGAGGGCATACGAACAGCCTGCATGAGCGACACGATTTACAGTATGACGACATGAGGCTACGGTTTGCACGGTCGGCGTTTGAGGCGGACTTTAAAAATGCATCAGTATGCGACAGAAGCGTACCCGGCGGCTCTCGACAGCCATATAGGTTGACTTCGGTGGCTCTCTATATACCCCAAAAGTACGCCGCTATGAGCAAAGGCTTGGGAGGATAAACCCCCACAGGCCTAACAAAGATCCAATAACATCATTCCGACCAAACATCACCACTTCTCCTTTTTTCTTTTCTTAGTTCTAGATCTCCTTTCTGTCTCGGTTCACATAACCCAATCCCTGCTGGAATACAGTGAAACACATCCCCATAGGCTCGAAGAAACCTGATCAAAACTCCCCAACCTCGCCAATCATTCCCACCTGTTTCGATCGCTTGCCAGCAAAATCTCCGATATCTGGAGCAAGCTTCGGGCTGTAACATAGCGCGACTGTTGTGTTTACCCGTACAGTGATAGGGAGTGGTGCCAAGCGGCTGCGCAACGGCCCCGTGAATTTCGCTTAGACTTACGCCACCTTCGCCTCAACCAGCCGTCCAACCCTATCAATTACAAGACTAGTAATATCTCCTTTGTGTTTACTCCTGCACCGTACCGTAGATAAAACCGTTGCGCGATGGCTTAGCTTCATTCGATCAGGTTTTGGCCCTGCCAGCTGGAGCTTGTTCGACATGATCGCAAACTGGAGTGTGCTTTTTGTGTTGATGAATGTAACAAGAGCCAGCAATGCTATATGTCTGCAGCAGGTGCAATGGCTTGAATAGGTCTCACTATTTTTGTCTCTCCTCACCTTTCACTTGTGTCAATTCGGCCTTCAAGCAAACGGAATCAGTAATCGTCCTGATTGTCGATTCACTTGCAGAACACCTGCCCATCCTTACTAGCGCCAACGTTCCACGCGAATCCTCGAAAGATTATCAAGCCAAACTCAAGTAAAGGCACTTGGAAAGCGTCGATAGGCTTCCCTTGGTCACGTCACACAAGCCATCTGAGCGTTGTCTCACTCGTGATCGCCTTTCCTTGACTATCGGTAACGCTCACGAACTCGAAAACACTACCACCACCGAGTCCACTCAGCAACCGAGACATAGGGTCTCCAAACGTTTGCCAGACGTACAGAACTTCTTCACAACCGACACTCACCATCATGGTTCTTCAAAGGCTCGTAGTCTTTCTCGTATGCGCCACCCTCGCCTTCTCATCCACTCAAGCCACACCACTTCCGTCGCCGCAGCAGACCCTCTCTGCAAGAGCCTGTACAAACGCCCTCACCAATCCATCCTTCGAGATTCCTTTGTTGACCCCATGGATGGACATGGTGACAGGCTCATGGTCCTCCCGCGGCATCTCCACCTCCCCTCCCCATGTTGGCGCACACTCGGGTTTCAACGTATATGCTGCGACATCGAATAGCTCGGAAGTGACTGCGACACTTACGCTATCGCAGTCTTACATTGATCTTCCAACCGGTGTGACGGTGGATTGCTACGCATGGGTCAGGGGAAGCAGGCCGAGTGGACAGACGCGCGTTGAGATCTTCCTAGATGGGGTCAGCTGTGGACAAGAGGTTCAGCTAGGAGTTGGAAACAAAGGTTGGAAGAGGGTCGGCGGCAAGGTCACGGTACAAGATGTGGTTCCAGGTGTTGGCCATTCGGTTGCGGTCAGTGTGCAAGGTGATGGCGTAGAGGATGAGAGTGGCTGGAGTGTGGCTGTGGACGATGTCGGTGTGGTAGTTGGGTGCTGAAGAGAAGTGGCAGGACAGACATGACTTGAGTGACGAGGGTAGCTCAGAGAAGAGGAAGCAGACTATAGCTGGTCACCATGAACTGGGTTAATACAGACCAGTCTATTAAAGGACGGTCTTTCCTAAGTAAGCAAGGTGTATGGTTGGCGAGCTTTACAGAATAAGAATTACTTTGACGTTCCACGTGTTTCATTTCATCTTGTTCCACCATCGCCTCATTATATAACTATGTTGTTTACAAAAGTGAAACTCTGATCAGTCATCACAATGCTATACAGGAGTCTGGGTGTCAATAGTGCCAATGGACCCGTGGGTCAGTGAGAAAACGGCATGTTAGATAGTGATAAGCATGTAAGAAGTTGAGCAAGTGCCATTTCGCCTTTGGGTTCGATAAGCCGGCCCTTTCACGTAGTTCGTTTGGAGCATGGAGGTACGGTATCTCCGCGTCCGACGGTCCTCTCCACTGACCAATGGTAATGTCGGGTTCG